CAGGTGTGGATGTAGTCTGGCTATTGTCCTGTGTCTTCTGGGCTCTCTTTTAGGAAGAATTGTATTTTCAAAAATATATGTGGTTTTGGGAGGAGAGTTCCGCTGCTCTACTCGTGCCGCCATCTTGGCTCCTTCCTCGATACATTCTTTTTAACTGAAGTCCACACTTTCTTAAGATTTCCTTCATTTTTACCTATCATCCTTCTCTTCTCACAGGATCCCATTCAGGATGCACATTGTAGTCAGTCATCGTGTCTCCTTAGGCGACTGTTGGCTGTGACGTTTTCATAGATTTTCCTTGTTTTTGATGAACTTGACAGTCTTGATTAGGTCAGGTGTTTTTTAGAAAGCTGCTCAGAAGGGCTATTTCTGATGTTTTTCTCTTAATTATACCGGGGCTATGGTTTTGGGGAGGAAGACCACAGAGGTAAGTGCTCTTCTCATCATATATGAAATGTACATTCCATTTACATCATTTACACTGTTGGAGTTAATCTTAATTCCCTGGCTGAGGTGGTCATCGTCAGGTTTCTCCACTATAAAATTACTTTTTTTCCCTTTTGATACTGTCCTCTGTGGAAGGAAGTCACTAAATATGGCTCCACGTAACAGGGCAGTTACCTTCCACCTCCTTGAGGGTGTTTATATACATAAGTTATTTGGAATTTCCCTGCAAGGTGGATTTGTCTCTTCTCTCCCACTTGTTTGTTTAATCAGTCATTTATACCAGTATAGACTCACGGGTATTTATTTTATACTTTATGTTATAATCTAATACTACTTTTTTTTGTTGCTCAAATTGTCTTGCTTTGGCCATGGGGGGCCCTTTCGATGGTGTCCTTTGACACACCCCCTTCACTGTGTGGCTTCCCCTGCCCTTTATTACAGGGTTCCCAGGCTCATCTTGTATATTTCTTTCTTTAGTCCTAGAATCAGTTATTTCTCCAAGATGCCTTGTTTCTTCTTATTGAAGAATGAATGGTATGGAAACCAAATTTGGACTCTATTATTTGTCTTTTCACTGTTGAGTTTTGAGAATTCTTTATTTCTTATATACCACAGTCTTTTGTTTGGGTATGTGGTTTGCAATATTTTATCCCACTTTGTAGCTTGCCTTTTCATCTTCTTAGCAGAGTCTTTCAGGGGGCAAAAGAAAAGTTTTTTTAAATTAGTGTTTAAAGATCAGACTTCTGGAAGTCAAGACTAAGAACTTGCTTGTCCCTAGTTTCTGAAGATTTCCACCTATTTTCTCTAAAAGTGATATATTTTACATTTGCATATGCTCATTCTAATCACCCCCACCATGAGGGAAACTTGGCTTGCTGGAAACTTAAAGGGCTGGAAGACAGCCACCTTTCTGCCCAGTTTTATTTGAACTGATCAGGTTATCAGCTCTCAGAACAGCCCTCATTGAAGTAAGAGAAGTCATAAGAAAGTGTAAGTCACTTTCCTCAAAGTAACAAAATTTCCAAAATTGCTCAAATTGAGGGCAGGAACTGTTGAGTTGTGGCTGTAATCAAATGCATTTCAGGAATGGTTTACAGACTTAACAAAAATTGCCATCTTTGGGCTGGAACAGAACACCACACTGGGTATCTCTGAGGATCCTTCTGTTGGGGAGGTTGAGTTTATTTTCCTGGGTTCTTGTCCCTGTCACAATAAAGAATTGAAGGGCAGAGACACAGTAGGGAAGCAGAGTAGAAATTTTAGTTGAATACACTCCAAATACACCGAGGAGCAGGCTAGAGTCAAGGTAGATCAAGGCGGTTTATTCTAATACACTCCAAGGGCGGAGTGGGCCAGGGTCAAGGTAGACAAAGGCAGGTTTAATTGAATAAAGCAGAGAGGAAGGAAGAATCAGAGGAAAAGGAAGCTCATTGAACTCTGCTCAGCATAAGGGCAAATCCTCTGCCAACTCCTAAAGCCAGGGTCACCTGGTGTCCGGTTTCCCCTTGGATCTGCACAGCAGTGTGAGAACTAAGGCCCTACCTCCCTGTGATTTGGGGGAGCAGCAGAGCACTAGATGGAGTGAGGTTATGTTCTGAGAATTTACCAAAGGCAAAGAGAAGAGATTTTCAGGCAGGCTACTAAGGAGCATGATCGTATAGCTGCAGTCCCGTCCAGGTCACCCAGGCAATGGGAACTTGCAGGCCCAAATAGAGCTCTTAGGAGCCCCTCCCTATGTATCTGCAGTAGGAGAGAGTGATGCACTCAAAGGCGAGGGTGGGCAACCTAGGAGAGGAGGTGTGCTTAAGGGTTTGGGATCTAGGGTGTTATAGGGCCTTTTTAGGTAAGGGTCAGCATAAGGCATCATGTATACAGGGGATTCAGAATTCCTTTGAAGTTTTGTCTTAAGAACAGGGTTATTTAGGTGACTATGTTGGTTTGGAACTTCAGCATTCTTTGTCCACATAGGTTTACTTACACTTCTGAGGTCTGTCTCCTGCCCTGGCCACATAGTTACTTGATCCTGCTGGAGGAAGAAGAAAAAACAGCATAAAGGTTAAGTTAAAGAATAAGCTGGGCTTTTTAGGAGGCTGAAATAAATTCACAAGGGGCAGGATCTAATTGGTACAATGAAGACTTGGGTTGTGCTTGGATACTTTTCTTTCTCTGGGGAATCTCTGGACTTTCCAAGTTGCTCCTGGCCTTTGGAGCTTCAGCTAATTAACTCATTAACTGTGAGTCCTTTCTGGCTCTCTAGTTTTATCTGGTTAACTCTTTGAGTCTCTTTTAATGGGCTTTTACTGGCCTTATTCTCCCTCCACCCACTCATATCTATTTTTCTGCCTAACACTTCTAGTTCTGACATTCTTATAAGCAAAGTCAGGTGTACAGCTGACATTATAGCCCAGGTTTTGTTTCCTGTTCTAAGTATCTTGCCTCCTCATAGCAGCATACTGCACAGTATATTCTTGATTAAAATGTAGATTAATGACACCCCCTCACTCCAATTAATTTAACTACTCTACTTAATCATAATTTCTAGGTGTTATATCTGAAAATCTACATTTCAGAGTCTACTGAGCTTTACTCCTTGATTCACTAGAGTCTGAGAGTCACTGCCACTGCCTGAAGGCCTGGTCTTGCTATTTTAGTCAGCAGCAGAGACAGCCTTTGCACCCTCAGCTCTGGATGTTGGCCCGCCAGGGACCAAGCACTTCTGCCTCCCGAAACTGTATCCTCATACCACTGAATTCCTTGATAGGCACTCAGTGCATACTTTACAAATACTGAAATACAGTTACTTCTGGAAAGAAATGGGAATTTAAAATTGATGCCTAACAATTATTCTGAATGTGGATATGAAATCCAGTTGTTTCATGACCCATAGATTCTTGCTTTTGCTCTTTGGCAGCTTACTGGCAGTTAGCATTATTTTTTGTTTTAAGTTTGGGGTCAGCAAAACTACCTACCACCAGAGACCAGATTTAACAGACTGCCTGTTTTTTATTGAGACACAGCCCCAGTCATCAGTTTATACATTGTCTCTGGTTTTTGTGCTACAAAAGGAGAACTGATTAGCTGTGACAGAAACCTCTTGGCCCACAGAGCCTCAAATATTTATCTGACCCTATGCAGAAAAAAAAAATTGCTGCCTCCTGCATTAGGGAATTGAAAGGGAAAAAGTAAAGTTTGTTTCACATTTTACCATTTAGGTCTTTTTTGGTAAAAGATTTGATAAACAATTGTAAACAATAGCCTGTGACAGTAAGTGGGGTTTATTGAGACATACCATAAGATATTCTCTCTCTGAAACTACCTGCCCACTGGGCCTTTGTGGGTACCTAAAATTTATTCTGCTTAAAGCTGTTTTACTCCAAGTGTGAATCCCATCCTACCTGCATCTAAATCATCTGGAGTGGTTGTTGAAATGCAGATTCCTAAATCCCACCAAAAACCTACTGATAGAATTTCTGGAGGCATGCTGAACACTTGATTACTCCCTCTTCTGTAGCTTTCACTGTATTTGCTCCCAGTCTCCATTAGGCAGTCAACAAGATAAATTTATTAGTTTACCTGCTTGTCCCTCCAGTAAGACAATGAACTCCTTTAAGGTATGTATTGTGTTATTCATTACTCTTTTTTTCCAGGCCCCTGCATGGGCACTTTTTTTTTTTTTTTTTGCATGGGCACATTTAATTGCTGTTCTCAAAAAGTGGTCCGTGGACGCTGGGGTCTTAGAGACTCAGGGGTCAAGCCTATTTACTTAATTGTACTAAGACATGATTTACCTTTTTCGCTGTGTGTTGACATTGGCACTGTTGGTGCAAAGTAACAGTGGGTACACACTGCTGGTACCTTAGCAGGAAATTAAGGCATGAAAACCAATTGTATTATGAGTCATTGTACTGTCCACTGCCATGCATTTATAATAAAATAGTGCCAGTTTCACCTAAGAGTACTCTATGAAGCAGTAAAAATTATTCTTAATCCTTGAGTTTACACCGGTTTCATAATCTGTGTGACAAAACGATTAGCATACATAAAACAATATTGCTTACTGAAGTACACTGGCTTCTGGAGGAACAAGCACTTGATGGATTATTTATTTGAATTGGTAATTGAACTAGCCACTCTTGCATGAAACACCATTTTCATATGAAAGTACAGCTGACAAACTGTGGCTATTCAGGTTTAGGTATTTGGCAGAACTTTTCTAGGTGACAAAGTGAGCTTGTCACTTCAAAGAAAACAACTATTTGTTGCCAATGATAAAATTTGACCTTTCAAGAAAAAGTATAATTTTGAAGAACTTTTATCTGCTATGAGCTTGACAACTTCAGAATACTTAAAGACTTTTCTAATAAGATTGGTGGTAATTTTTAGAAAAATATATAATGAAGTATGTTAACATTTGGAAGATTGCATAGCTCAGTGAACTGATATTTTCCATATGACCAGAGTACATGATGTTTTAGTTATACATGGGAAAAAAATCCATTCAAAAGGTCATGGATGCAAGATAGACCAATGGATTTTAATGTAGCAGAGCACAAACTTCACTGATAGGTTTCCAGAGTCCACATTGCAACTAACTTTCAAGAAACTTCCATTTGTTGAATTTTAGTGTAGCATTAAAAAGAATACCCATAACTATCTGAAAAGGCTATTAAAATACTCCTTCCTTCTCCAGCTATGTAACTGAGTGAGACTGGATTTTCTTCGTATCTATCACCCAAAACTAAAATGGTAATAGTTTGAATGCAGGGGCAAATATGAGGATCCATTCATTTCCTATTAGACCAGACAAATTTACAAAAATGTAAAACAATGCCATTCTTTTTCTCTGATTTTTTATTTGCAAACTATTTCTCCAAAAAATATTTACATGAGATGGGTTTTTCTTTTTACTGTTAAGATTAACAAATACTTAAATTTCTCAATTATAATTTCTAATATAGTATGCAGTGAGAGATGGAACTTACATAAACAATATTTTTTATGGTATTCAGTAATTTAAGAGTATAAAGAAATCTAAGACCAAAAAAGTTGAGAACAGCTGGTATAGAGGATGCACTAGGATTTTGAGACAGAGGACCTGAATTCAAGTTATGGTTGTGTTACTTAACTGACTCCTGTTTAGGTAAGTTGCTCAGGTGTAGGCTATGAAGGCAGACTTTTGATACGTTTGGCTCCATCACTTGCTGGATGGGCAAGTCATCTTACCTCTGCAAGTAGAGATAACTGTGCTCTGAGGAATAAATGGCATTACACTGTAAAATGCTTACAGTTATACCTAGACACAGCAAGAGCTCAGTACATACTAACCACAATTCTTTGTCTACAGTATTAGTCATTTGGCAAGATCCCAGAGAATGGGACACAGTTCCTTCTTTATCTTCTCCTAGGAGAGCAGAAGCTGTTTAATTTAGGTGTTACACCGCATTTGAGAAGGTGTAAGTAAACCTCAGTATTTGTGTGTGGCTGTTAACCTGTAAGAGAATTACTATGTTAAAAAAAAATCCCTTTCAGTTTTTTTTTTCGGTTTCTGAAGAAATAACTGAAAAACATGCCCTAAACCGTTGCCCTCTAATCTAGAAAAGAGTAAAGTGTTTCACTGAATACCTAAAAGAACTGAGGTCTTCCAGAGAAGTAAATACTCAGGAGAGCTGGGCAAGGCTACTACTCAGCTTTGTGACTGGGAAATTAGTCAAGCTTTTCTCCTCAGTTATGTCATCTTGTTTGGATAAAAATATCCCGTCTCATCAAAAAACTACCCAAGAACAAAACCCCCGGAACAGATGGATTCACCACTGAATTTTATCAGACATTTAGAGAAGACATAATACTCATTCTCCTTAAAGTTTTCCAAAAAATAGAAGAGGAGGGAATACTTCCAAACTCATTCTATGAAGCCAGCATCACTCTAATACCAAAACCAGGCAAAGACACTACAAAAAAAAAAACAAACTACAGACCAATATCCCTGATGAGCATAGATGCAAAAATACTCAACAAAGTATTAGCAAACTGAGTTAAAAAATACATCAAGAGGATCATACACCATGACCAAGTGGGATTCATCTCAGGGATGCAAGGATGGTACAACATTCGAAAATCCACCACATCAACAAAAAGGAGGACAAAAACCACACGATCATCTCCATAGATGCTAAAAAAGCATTTGACAAAATTCAACATCCATTCGTGATAAAGACTCTCAACAAAAATGGATATAGCGGGCAAGTACCTCAACATAATAAAGGCCATATATGTCAAACCCACAGCCAACATCATACTTAACAGCGAGAAGCTGAAAGCTTTTCCCCTAAGATAGGGAACAAGACAAGCTGCCCACTCTCCCCACTTTTATTCAGCATAGTACTGGAGGTCCTAGCAATGGCAATCAGACAAAACACAGAAATAAAAGGCATCCAGATTGGTAAGGAAGAAGTCAAACTGTCACTATTTGCAGATAACATGATATTGTACATAAAAAACTCTAAAGAATCCACTCCAAAACTACCAGAACTAATATCTGAATTCAGCAAAGTTACAGGATACAAAATTAACACACAGAAATCTGTTGCATTCCTATATACTAACAATGAACTAGTAGAGAAATCAGGAAAACAATTCCATTCACAATTGCATCAAAAAGAACAAAATACCTAGGAATAAACCTAACCAAGGAAGTGAAAGACCTATACCCTGAAAACTACAAGACACTCTTAAGAGAAAGAGGACACTTAAGAAATGGAAATTGATCCCATGCTCTTGGGTAGGAAGAATTAATATTGTCAAAATGGCCGTCCTGCCTAAAGCAATGTACAGATTCAATGCAATCCCTATCAAAATACCAACAGCATTCTTCAGTGAACTGGAACAAACAGTTTTAAAATTCATATGGAACCACAAAAGACCCCGAATAGCCAAAGCAATTCTGAGAAGGAAGAATAAAGCAGGGGGGATCTTGCTTCCCAACTTCAAGCTCTCTTACAAAAGCCACAGTAATCAAGACAATTTGGTACTGGCACAAGAACAGACCCATAGACCAGTAGAACAGACTAGAGAGTCCAGATATAAACCCAAGCATATATGGTCAATTAATATACGATAAAGGAGCTATGGATATAGAATGGGGAAATGACAGCCTCTTCAACAGCTGGTGTTGGCAAAACTGGACAGCTGCATGTAAGAGTTTGAAACGGGATTACTGCCTAACTCCATACACAAAAGTAAACTCAAAATGGATCAAAGACCTGAATGTAAGTCATGAAGCCATAAAACTCTTAGAAGAAAACATAGGCAAAACTCTCTTGGACATAAACATGAGCAACTTCTTCATGACCATATCTCCCCGGGCAAGGGAAATAGAAGCAAAAATGAACAAGTGGGACTATATCAAGCTGAAAAGCTTCTGTACAGCAAAGGATACCATCAGAACAAAAAGGCATCCTACAGTATGTGAGAATATATTAATAAATGACATATCTGATAAAGGGTTTATATCCAAAATATATAAAGAGCTTACTCACCTCAACAAAATAAAGCAAATAATCCAATTAAAAAATGGTAAGAGTATCTGAACAGACACTTATCCAAAGAAGAAATTCAGATGGCCAACAGGCACATGAAAAGATGCTCCACATTACTAATCATCAGAGAAATGCAAATTAAAACCACAATGAGATAGCACCTCACACCAGTTAGGATGGCTACTATCCAAAAGACAACAACATTTGTTGGCAAGGATGTGGAGAAAGGGGAACCCTCCTACACTGCTGGTAGGAATGTAAATTAGTTCAACCATTGTGGAAAGCAATATGGAGGTTCCTCAAAAAACTAAAAATAGAAATACCATTTGACCCAGGAATTCCACTGCTAGGAATTTACCCTAAGAATGCAGAAGCCCAGTTTGTAAAAGACATACACACCCCTATATTTATTACAGCACTATTTGCAATAGCCAAGATAAGGAAGCAACCTGAGTGTCCATCAGTAGATGAATGGATAAAGAAGATGTGGTACATATACACAATGGAATATAATTCAGCCATAAAAAGAAAACAAATCCTACCATTTGCAACAACATGGATGGAGCTAGAGGGTATTATGCTCAGTGAAATAAGCCAGTTGGAGAAAGACAAGTATTGAATTATTTCACTTATCTGTGGAGTATAAGAACAAAGCAAAAAACTGAAGGAACAAAACAGCAGCAGACTCAGAGAACCCAAGAATGGCCTAACAGTTGCTCAAAGTAAAGGGACTCGGGAGAGTGGGTAGGAAGGGAGGGATAAGGGGGAAAAAGGGGAATTACAATAGCACGCATAATTTAGGGGGCATGGGGAAGGCAGTATAGCATAAAGAGAAGTAGTGATTGTATAGCATCTTACTATGCTGATGGACAGTGACTGTAATGGGGACTTGATAATGGGGGGAGTCTAGTAACCATAATGTTGCTCGTGTAATTGTATAGCAATGATACCAATATATATATGTGTATGTGTGTGTGTGTATCCTGTCTCCAATCTCCCCTGCAGCTTTTAAATCCTGTGAAGCTCACCTCTACATGTTTTAGAGAGATCTTTTTGGCAACATGTAAATCCTCATAAACGCAAACGGAAGGAGGCAAAGTCCTCAATAACCGTTTTTTTTCCTTGCAAATGCCACCCAGAAGTGGCTGTCTGATAGAAGCTGCTGTGCTAGCGCCCTATCATTTTATTTCCCACCGGGGGAGGTCTCCCTGCTCGCCCTGGGTCCCCGCACGATCCTAGACCCAAGCGGAGGACTAATCTGAGGACCCCTGGGGTCAGTAGGCCTATTTTCCCATCTACTGAGTGAAAAGGCTGGGCTGGTTAGTCTTAAAGAACCTTTCTCTCACTTGGGTTAAAGTGCTCCTTCACAGTTATGTCTTATTCTTTACCAATCCCTGCTTTCTGCAGACCTCAGCCTCCCCCAAGACACAGCGCACTTTCACTGTCAGCCCAGCGCTCTGATCCTGCCCGCAGGGAGGGGCTACATGTCGCGCGATTCCCCCCACCTCTCGCGATACTTCCCGCCAGCGCCCCCTGCCCCCCACCTCCCCGGCGCCCCTTGGGCCCCTCCCATCGCCTCAGCGCCGCGGTCCCAGCTGCCTCACCTCTGCTCCCCGCCTCGGGGCCGCTGCTCGCCAGCTGGGAGCGAGGCTGAAGCCAGCGCGGGGCGCGAGTCAGGCGCGGCTGCGGGCTCCGCCCTGCTCCGCCCCGCTCCGCCTGGGCTCGGGGGAAAGGCGGCCGCGGGGCCATGCCGTGCCCCTCTCGGCGAGGGCGGGAGAGCGTGGCAGGCTGCGGGGCAGGCAGGTGAGCCGCCACGGCGAGCGGGGTCGCGGCTGTGCCGACGGAGGCCCGGGACGGGAAGGCCTGCTGGGAGGACCCGCCCCGGGAGGGTGGGGTGACCTCGGTTCCAGGGAAACAGCCAGGGCCCCTTTTCCAGCAGATGCGCCGGGAAATTACCCTGTGACCATTGGTGACTCCGCTCGACTGCGGAGCTGGAGGCGGGAGGAGCCGAGTCCTCGAGCTCGGAGGTCCCAGATCTGGGCTGCAGGAGGCCCGGGTCTTGGGGCCAAGGGGTGGCTGCGGGGAGTTTGTGCTGGGAAAGAAGGTAAGGCGCCGGTAGCTTGGAGAGCGTCCGCTCGGGAGGCCAGGTGTTTGCAGCCCAGATACTGGTAATCGGGCCCACCGGCCTCGGCTGCTTGAATAGCTTCTGACCCTGCCTGTGGTCCATGTTTTGAGGGGTTGGAGTCTTTGAAGGCAGGAGGCTTTTGAGGTCACTTGTTTTTCACCTGAGACTTGGACCCAGAGGGGATGCGCGCGTGCGCATAGCGGCCCTAGCAAGGGTTCGTGTTTCCAGAATTTGTACCGTGGTCCTTAATTAAATGCACTTAAAGGAGCGGTAAGAAGTGACTGGTTCTTAAGTAAAAAGTATTCTTTTAAATATTTTAAGGTTCCAACAATCATACGGTATGGGACTGGAGCCTACACCTGGGTGTTGTTAAACAGTTGGAGTGAATGTTTTGTCTTTGACACTAGACTTAGATTAGAAATTGGGCAAGTTTTGCTGCAATCCAGTTTTTGACCGCGTGTTTCTTGTGATTCTGGGTTTGCTTTATAATTTGTTATCTGATTAAAATAAGGCAGTTTTCTGAGAAAATTGGGAAATCAGTGTAAAGTGGTTGATCTATAAGGAGTATTGTTTAAAGCCCTCCCCGCCATTCCCCCAAAAATCCAGCTGTTAATTTATTATTTCCTTTTTTAAATTTTTTAAATTAAAAAAATGTTTTATTTTGGTATCGTTAATGTACAATTACTTGAACATTATTATGGTTACTAGACTCCCCCTATTTAATTTATTATTTCTATTTCAAAATGTGTAGCCTCCTTAAATTATTTTCGTTTTGTTGTTTTTGCAGAAATGATTCCCTAAAATGACCAGTTTTATGTGTGTGTCAACAATCAAGCTGTTAAGAGAAAGAAAATCATTTTTCTGATAGATTTCTTGTATCCTGTATTTTAGAGAGCGAAATGTCAGCGGACTCACACCAGGAACGGCTGTCCCAGCCAGATCCATCTCCATCACCAAAGTCTTGCAGTTCCTTTGAGCTAATAGACATGGATGCTGGCAGTTTGTATGAACCAGTTTCTCCTCATTGGTTCTATTGTAAGATTATAGATTCTAAGGAGACATGGATTCCTTTCAACTCTGAGGATTCACAGCAGCTGGAAGAGGCATATGGCTCTGGTAGGATGGAAATGACTTGTAATAGACAAGACTTACTGTCATCTTTCTAAAACTCTAGTAAAATAGTTCTTAGAGTTAGTGTTTTAACAGTGCATTTTAGATTTTTTTTCTAGTTCTTTCCTGTAGCATTTTTATATAGAAGCTCTGCATTACTACCCAACCAATTTATAATGTTTAAGAATTTGGTCTGTATTTTGAAATACCTAATAATATTTCTTATGTTCTAGCTTTTGTTTCAGTTTTTGTTTATAAGCAAGGGATAGGGACAGTGTCACATTGTGAAAGAATACATTCTTTGAATTTGTCAGTTGTTTTTTCTTTATTAAACAAGAATGATGCTAGTTAACTAGTTAATCATCGTGAACTAGTTTATCATCATAATGGTCATATGGTCATTAAGCTATGGTCCCTCGAGCAAAAAATTTCAGAAAAGCCTTCATATATCTATATGGAAAACATGTATGTGTTAAGGGACACTGCTATTTCTCCTTGGAAGAACAAAATAGTGTTTGGGTATTTTTTTTTGTGTTTCATTAAAACCAAGAATGGTTTGTAAAGTAGTTAGAAAAGATTTCAGTTAAATTTTGTTTAATGTTTAGCCAAGTGGGAACTGTTGATTAATATGTTTCATAACATTTAGACTATAATGCAAATTATATTTGGATATATGTGCATCTTTCCCCTTTTCCAATCCTTGACAGGAAAAGATTGCAATGAGAGAGTAGTCCCCACTGATGGGGGCAGATATGATGTACATTTGGGGGAGAGGATGCGGTATGCGGTATACTGGGAGGAGCTAGCCTCAGAAGTGAGGCGATGTACCTGGTTTAACAAAGGAGACAAAGATAATAAGTATATTCCTTACTCGGAGAGCTTCAGCCAAGTATTAGAGGTACCTTTGATCATTCTTACTCATTTTCTTCATCTCTTATTTAATAATCTTTTTTTTTTTGTCTTATGACTTAGTTTGTGGAATTTCTGGAAAGAGTTTGGTTTTATCTGTATCACATTATACAGCATTTCTTTTTGCAAGTTTAGGATAAAGTAGTGTTATTTTCAGACTTTGAAATGCTATTGTAACTGTTACACCTTTAAACTTTTTTCCCTAGTTGAGATCATTGTTATTATTAACCTAGGCCTGTGGGATTCATTTTTTATTTTTGCTTTTTATTTTTCTTGCTTTGAAAACAGTCTGAAATTTGTTTTCTTTAAATTGGCGTAGGCCTTATTAATATTATTGAAAAAAATACCTCAAAATTTGAGCAATGGTTATCTCTAGTTTAGATGATGGAATTAGTTTTTTTTTTCTTTGTCCTGTACTATTATCTGTTGCAAGTTTAAAAGAACTGTAAAATAATTTGATAAGAGAAAGAATTATATATGTAATATATTCCTAATTTTATGGAAAATATACATGCACTAATATTGAATGAAATATACCAAAATTTGAATAGCAGTTATCTCTAGCTTAGCTGGTGAAGTAGGAGTGCTTTTTTTTTCTTTGTCCTATACTGTTATCTGCTGTAATTTAAAAATAATTTTAAATTTACATTGGGAATATAGTCAATAATATTATAATAAACTTGTAAGGTGACAGATGGTAACTATCATAGTGAGCATTTTGTAGTATGTATAATTGTCAAATCATTATGCTGCACACCTGAAACTAACATAAAACGAGTATAATGTAGGTCAGCTATACTTCAATTAAAAAATTGATTTTGATAAATTAGTATATTCTTTATTTATCTGGCAGTATTCTTGTGAAAAAGTTTACTTTTAACAGGAAAGCTATTAGATAAAGCTAATGAAATGTGTTTTCTTCTAAGGAGACTTACATGCTTGCTGTAACTCTGGATGAGTGGAAAAAGAAACTGGAGTCTCCCAACAGAGAAATCATTATATTACACAATCCAAAGGTAAAGCAAAGTAAAGCCTTTCTCTAATACTGGGGTTAAAGGTTAATTGCATTACAAAGGAGCACTTAATTGGTTTCTTTTTCACAGGGATTCTATTTAGGTTAACTTTTAGAAATTTTTATATTGTATTAACAATTAAGAAACTTAACACTTGCAGCCACTTCCACCATTGTTACCTGGCTCAGTTCATACAAAAGAATTTTCTTAGAGAAAGTTACGCCACTGTAGATTAAGAGTATCACTGATACATGTGGGCGTATCTTCCATGTGTAGGGTATTACCGAAAAGATCTGTTAGTCTGATATATTTTCTTCTTTTTTTTCACTTAGGTATAATTGACAAAATTTTAAGTATCTAAAGTGCATTTTAACCTATATATTTTTAGGGCTCTCATTTCAGACTGTAGTAGTTGCATATCAAAACTCCAGTTGAGATTTGACTGTGTATTGTTTTGAAAGACACGTTCCTGCCCCTCAGAATATATCAATAGGCATGTCTTAAATGTAGAATGTTTTATTGCTCTGATCTCTTCGATTGAAGCTGATGGTGCATTACCAGCCAGTTGCGGGGTCCGATGAATGGGGCTCAACACCCACCGAGCAGGGTCGACCAAGAACAGTGAAGAGGGGGGTTGAGAACATCTCTGTTGACATTCACTGTGGTAATGCTAATCATTTCTTTATCTTCTGATATGCTTATTTGTTTATGACTTAAATGGTAATCTCTTGGATTACTTTAGGGCTTAAAAATAAGTTTAATTGTACGAGATTCTGAGTTAAGATTAGCATCAGTTTATTTACAAAGAACCTTGGTAGAAGTAAAAATCTCTTAAAGTTGCTGAAGTATATATGGTGGGATGAGTACAATTTGGCAGTACTAATCTGGATGTCGATGAGCCGATTTATTCCTCATCTAAGAAGTATGATTCCACATGTTGGGATGGAAATTTATTCCTGTAACGACTCGTGTCCTAGAAGATTTTCAACTAAGGGAACTATTTTTCAGTAGGACCTTGATGGTTTGGTTATCTATTCTTGTTTGGCTGGGGTCATTTATGGTTGATTTTATACTATATTTATGTGGATTATAAAATTCATTTTATCAATACACAGTGACTGCAGTGGGGTTGGCGGAGGGAGGACTTGATAATATGGGTGAATGTTGAAACCACAATGTGTTCATGTGAAACCTTCAAAAGATACCTTAATTTTAAAAAATTCATTTTATCTTGCAGAGGAGATGGTTTGTGTATTGGGCAGTCTTAGACTTACTGTAATTTACAAAGATGAGTTTAAAATTTCAGCCTCCAAATACGTATCAGACATTATTGGCACAATTGATAAAAGTGGAATATTAGACAAGAAAAGTACTCTATAAGTGTTAAATTGCCTGAATTCCATAACTTTGCACTGTGGTTATAAAAGAGAATATTCTTGGGAAATACACATTAAAATATTAAAGGTGTGATGTGTACAGTCTGGTGATGTGCACAACTTGTTCCCAAATGGTTTGGATAAATAAATGTGGGTGTGTATATGCACACATAGAATAATAAAGCAAATTTGGTAAATATCAGTGTTGAGTCTGTGTAAAAAGTACATGGGAACTTCTGTACCATTCTTTCAAGTTTTCTGAAAGAAGCAGTTATTTCAAAATAAAAAGCTTAAAAAAACCTGAGAAATTTTTTCACTGACTTCTTTTGGGATAAATTAGAAACACAGTAGAATCACTATTTTTACTAAGTAGTTAAATATTTAAATTATCCTTTAAATTACCTGCTTATATTTTAACTTGTCCATCTTTATAACCTATCCACTGTGAATGTTTGATTTTAGAATAAATAACTAGTTACAGGGAGTAATTTTCTTTTAAATTTCATTTATAGGGGAGCCTTTACAAATAGACCACTTGGTTTTTGTAGTCCACGGGATCGGACCAGCTTGTGATCTCCGCTTCCGAAGCATTGTACAGTGCGGTAGGTGCTCAAAGCGTGTAAGATTAGATCACGTGGAGGGAATATTAGCCATTGCTTCTGCGCACTGAGGTCAAGTGTTGTCTTTAGTCTGTTGTCTTAGCTACCTAAGAAGCTTTGGAGGGTATAGACAGGTGGCAAGGTAGTAAAGCTTCCCTGCTTAGACTCAAAGTACTAGCAAATTCCCTAGGCTAATATTTGTGTCTTCCCTAATAATTCTTGAGTGAACAAGCCCTTAATCCTCATAAATTTGTTTTACGATGTGATGGTCTTATTTCTAACCCTTTCAAATTTAAAGGTAACCATAAAGATGATAATAGTTTTAATTCAGTCATTTTTGTAATTCATACCAGGATAAACCTCTTCATATTCTAATTGGAATACTTAGGTCATTAGTATAACTTGATTTTGAAAGGTAGTATCCTCTAAAACTTGATGGTACTCAGTCTAATTGTCCTAATTTGGGAGTCTTATCCTGCTGGCTAATGCTTCTAGGCAGAAACCTTCTAGAAGGTTCAGATCAATATAGTATGAATTTCAAACAGCAATGTATTTTTTTTTTTTATAATGTAACGTATTGGGGAGTGGTTGGTTGTAAGCACTAGACAGGAGTCTGGCTGCAAGGCCAGTTTGATCTGGCCACAGAATTTTTTCTTTTTCTTTTTCTTTTTAATTGAAACAGATCCCATGACACAGGAGGTTTTGAAGCTAGCTTTTCTTTGGATGAAAAATGTTTTGTTAGAGTAAAACCAAGTTCTGTATTAAAGGAACAGCTTTTCATGGTACATAGATACATGGATCATTTTCCCTGAATACCACGTAGCTGTTTCTGTGTTATTTTGTATTCTAAGCAAATACATATAATTACATGATCTGTTGCATCCTGATTCTGCAAACTCATTGCTTCACTGTTGATGCATACGTTAATTTCCTTTCCAGTTAATGATTTTCGCAGTGTTTCCTTGAACCTGCTACAGACACATTTTAAGAAAGCCCAAGAAAATCAGCAAATTGGGAGGGTAGAATTTCTTCCAGTCAACTGGCACAGTCCTTTGCATTCTACTGGCGTGGATGTGTGAGTAATACCCTCCTCCTTTGAGTTGTTAAATGTAGATGTAGTCTATTTTTTGTTCATGGATATGCTTGGGGTTATTTCTTCTATAGCCAATTGTATATTTAAAATTTTGTTCAACCATAAGTTTTATATACTTCTGTATCTTTTCCTTCGGGATACATTATCTGATGCTTGCCAGTTCCTTGGTTTAACTAGCCTGGCTTAGGAGTGAATAATTGTGTGAATCTTCTTCCAATGTGTTTTACAGGCTCATTAGTATATATTAATATATTATAGTTCTGTTATTTTCTTTAGCATTAAAGCCAAATAATGCTTTTTTCCCACCTTACCTCAAGATGTACGAACTATTTTGTTCCTTTGTGATTAATATTTAGATAACATTTGTCCACATTTGGGGAAAATAAGGAAATCCCTAAGCCTTAAATTGTTAGTATTTATACCTTGAGGTATAATTGGTACAACAACTTTGAAGTGATGGCCTTCTTAAGTCACAAGCCCAATAGTTTTGTTTATAAATTCTATAGTAATGTCAGAGAAGGTTGGTTGCTCTATATTGATAGTCAGCTGTGGGCCCTTCAGAAAGAAGTACGTTCAGAACAGCTGTAGGTTTAAGTAGGAGATGCTTCTCTGGAAGATGAAGTTGTCAGCATTCTTGCCACGCTGGTCTTGGAAATGGCACCCCTGATTAATAGAGTCCCTAATACCTTGTGATATCAGCAAGTTCCATGTGCCGAGTGCACCACTGTGGTTGTTCCATATGGGTGTGGAGTTCGCGTCTTTCTCACTTGAGCTGATGCTACGCGGCTCCTTTGGGCATAGAGCCCTCTCTGAACTCCAGAAGCTGTTGAATCTTCGAGGATTCTTTGGGGGATTTTGAGAAAGCTTTCTCTGGAAGTTGATTTAGACAATGTCAGCATGGTTTCCCTTTGTGAGGATTCCTCTGGCATCCAGCAGTCTCACTTTGCAGCTTGAGAAATTGTGCGTTGAGAGAAGGAGCAGGTCCATTTGTCATTTGACATGTGATCAACAAACCTTAATGCTGAGAATCCTAGGAAAATCGTCTTGTATCTTTTGTCTATTTAAAGAACTTTTTATTATGGAGAATTTTGTACACAAAAGTAGCAAATATAAAGAATCTTCATGCATTGATTATGACTGCCCAGCCCTAACAATCCTCAGCATGTGGCCAGTTCTGCCCCATCTGTATCTCAATACCCCGTCTACTGCCCATCTGTCCACCACAGTTTTTGAATCAAATCTTAGACATTGTATTATCTGTAAATGTTTGTATTATCTTAAAGGACTTTAAAAAAATAAAATAAAATAAATAAATATATATATATATATATATATATAACCGTAACACCATTAATACACCTTAAAAAATTCTTAATATGAGCAAATAGTGTTCAAATTTCCAGTTGTCTAATAAATGTCTTTACATATATATATATATACATACATACACACATAGACATACACAAATGTACTCATGTATTTTAAACTGGGACCCAGATAAGGTCCATAAAATTGCAGTTAGTTAATAGGTCTTTTAAGTCTCTTAATCTCTTATTTTCTTGCAGTTTATGTGTTGAAGAAACTGAGTGATTCGTCTTGTAGTTTCTCATACTTTGAATTTTGCAGACCACATCCCTTGGGTTTCTTTTCATCAAACATACCTCTCTGTCCTGTATTTCCTATACATTGATAGTTGTCTCTTGTATCTTAATAAATATTTAGGTCTAAGCTTAGACTAAGCTGGATAATAACTTAGAGGGGGTTATCGAATGAATTAAAGTTTTCTGCTTAAACTGTCTTTCCATTTTTACAGAGATCTGCAGCGGATAACACTGCCCAGCATTAACCGCCTAAGACACTTCACCAACGACACAATTCTGGACGTCTTCTTCTATAATAGCCCCACCTACTGTCAGACAATTGTGGACACAGTTGCTTCTGAAATGAATAGAATATACACACTTTTTCTGCAGAGGAACCCTGATTTCAAAGGGGGTGTATCCATTGCCGGTCATAGTCTAGGTAACAAATGAATTCTCTGTGACCAGAGAGGATTACTACATTTTAAGGACACCCGTTTTTGAAGTACTGTTTTTTATCTATATCAGATTCTGAGGTCTAGAACTGGTCTGTGATGAAGAATCCGGGAGGGGTTGGAAGGGTGGTGGTGGATTGGAAGGGAAGACTCCTGCTTCATAGATTTTGCTACATTGGTAACTGGCTTATTACTTTTGTGTGTGAAAGACAGCTGTTTAGAGCTAATGCTCAGAAATTGTCCCTTTCTTCTATTTTACTTGTAGGTTCGCTTATATTGTTTGATATCCTAACCAATCAGAAAGATTCTTTGGGGGATATTTACAGTGAAAAGGTAATTTAGATGTTCAGATAGGTTCTGTAGTATTTCTTAGTAAGGATTTTTAGATTTTAGACTTATTTTTTGCTTTCTGCTGAATCTCATACCATAACATTAAATTAACATTTATTTTTATAGACGTAATAATTTGTCATTCTTAGATGACAGAAGCAAGATAGTAATATGCTTCTGCAAACAACTGCCACATTCTAACATGATTGTAGGTAGCTTATTTTCCATTATAAATATGCATGACTGCCTTATTAGAATTATAGATCATTGAGCTGAAATGGAGTTTGCATATGAAGAAATGAAAAATGAATTGGATACAAATTAAGTAATTTATGGAAATTCTGTTTGAAAGCAGTGAGAGGACATGATGTTTATCTTCTAATTGTCCTGTGAACACTTATGTACAGTGCTCAATAGGACTTAACATATATGATCTTGTATTTTTTCTTCTTTTTATGGAAGTGTTCTGTTTCTACTGTTGGATCTTGAATTCTCCCAGGGGCTTTTGTCTTAAATTGTTTTATGCCTCACAAGAGCTCAGTAAATGCTTTGTTAATGATGATGAAGAGTACTTTGATAATCATTCAACCACTCATTCATTTAAAAACATAAGTTTCAGCTGAAGTTGCCGAAGCTTAGAGATCAGTCACCTCTTAAATTATATCTTAAATAGATTACAATTTATTTTTACATCTCTATGTGGAAATCTTATACAGTAGTTTCTTAACTGCAAAACCATTTTAATAAGGGAAAATTTAAATGAATTTAGAGAAAATGAGTTTCACAATTTAATTTTTAGGATTCACCAGATACTGTCATGGATCGAGGAGATACACTGACACTAGAGGAAGATTTGAAGAAACTTCAACTCTCTGAATTCTTTAATATCTTTGAGAAGGAGAAAGTAGATAAAGAATCGCTGGTAAAGACACTCTTAAAACTTCATGCTGTGCCATTGTCAGTATATTTATTGCTTCTTCAGACTGCTTACTAAGCCTGCCCTTTAGACGCACGTTAGTTGTAAATGCCCTGTGATCATTAATAATGTTCCTTAGCATTATATGTGTGTTTTTTCTTATCACATAACGTGGTCTTTGCTTTGTGGAAGTTCAAAGTTCAGAGGAGCCTTATTGATTGACGTATAGCAATACAGCGAAGACTAAACACAGCACAGCCTGGAAGACATGGGCGGCAGAAGAAATGCCCACTAACTCCTCCAAGTCTTACTTTCTGTTACCCTCTCACAGGCTCTCCCGTGGGTACTTGTTTTTGTTTGGTGCCACTTTTGTTGTGCTTTTTTCCGGGTTTGCAAGGCCTTTGTTCATTTAAAGGCATTCAGCAAATGCTGGCTCTATCCGGGCATTCTCTACTCGTGCAGAAGACAGGGTCCCTAACCTTGCGGTGTTTATGGTTTGGTGGAAAAGACATTAGATAATCAAGCACATAATTACAGTCATGATAAGTTGTGACGAGGAAGAGTACCTGGTGGCTTAAGAATGTGTAATAAATAGGCTGAGCCACGCTGGTCTGGGGGGCAAAGGAAGATACTTCCCCAAGCAGATGAGTGGCTTTTAGGCTGAGGCCTTGATTGTTGGCATCTTCACACTCCTCACTGTGTTCTCACTGCTCGGGTCCATGAGTAGGGACGGATTCTCGGGATGTGACATCTCAGCATGGAAATCAAGGAGGGCTTTTCTGTCATGAGGTTAGTATCCACCTTTGTAGGTGTTATCAGCGTTACTGTAGCATTGATACTGTAGTATTGATACTTTAAATTCTTCAGACCGTTTTATGAATAGAGTATCCTTCTTAAAGTTCTAATGATGGTTTACCACTAGGGAGCCACCCTAGTGACAGAAAGCAAAGGTCTTACTCCTCAGAGAACAGGACGTTTAATTGACTGTTTTGCCTAGAAATAAGGAAGATATTTTATTTCCTATGCATAGGCTTTATGTACAGACAAAGATCTTCAGGAAATGGGAATTCCCTTAGGACCAAGAAAGAAGATACTAAACTACTGGAGGACCCGAGAAAATTCAATGGTAGGTGCTTAATGTAGCTTGTAGGATCGAACAGTCTTTTACATCCCTGCATTGTGCTTTTTAAGATGGTTAGGAGCCAAGCAGTTTTGTTAACTAATCTTTGGCACTCTTTACAAATTAAACATGTTCTCTGTATTGAGCTCCTTAATACATTGTGAGCTCCAGAAGTCTTCTGAACCTCTGTATCTCCTTTGGGTTCCTCCTGCCGTTCCTTTTTCATTTTTTCCCTTTTTTAAATAACTGCTATATTGAAATGTGATTTACATCGCATACCCTAAAATTCATCTTTTTAAAGCTTATAGTCCAGTGGTTTTTAGTACATTTACCGAGGTATGTAGCCATCACCATTATCTAATTCCAGAGCATTTCCCTCCCTCAAACAACCCCAGTACCCATTAGTGGACACTCTGTTCTTCTGTCCTGTGACCCAGGGATCTGCTTTTGGTCTTTCTGCAGTTTTCTTACCCTGGACATTCCATATAAACAGAATCATACAGTATGTGGCCTTCTGTGACTGGCTTCTTTCACTTAGGCCTATCTGCGTGGTAGACAATAGATTCTATGCTCAGTTCTTTTGGCCACTGAATTCCTTTCCAAATCTTAGTAGTTGGTTCTTTTTCAGCTTCTTAGCAGGTTGCTCAGTTCTTACTTAAGGCCCAGTGTTTGCATCATTTTCTGTACCCACAGAGACACTCTGCCTGCTGTGACTAGGAGGGCACAGTGCTCCTGCGAGCCGCTCAGCCGTCCTCAGCACTGGCGTCCAGTGCTCTGCTGTTTTTTCTCACGGCAGCCCAGAGTGTGAACTGCTGCCCAGGTAGCTGTGCACAGCTCTCTTGTTTTAGAGCATGTGGGGACATCAATTCATAATTTAAGGCAGCTTTTGTTTTCACCAGTTTTATCTTGTTTTCTGAGAGACTCTTTCTAGACTGTCATTTCAGAACTTTCCCAAGCATCCTTTCACATCAATAGAAAAACTGTATAATCCTTTGGATATTTTTATTACACGGCAACTCCACAGAACTAAATTTTATTCTTTAGGGTATTTGTAGACCAACCCCACCGTCAGCCTCAGGGGTAAATACATCCAACATCTCCAAAGAATCGGGGTTCTGCAGTACGGAAACTGGACGTGCTGATGGCCTGGATGTCGGTATTGGGCAGGTAACTGTCCTGTTCTCTTAGGTCATTTGATCGCCTGCTATTCGTGCAGTGGGAACAGGTGTAACTTCTGTTATTAATCAGAGATGCTTTCCTCCTTCCAGGTGTCTGTAAAGTACCCCCGGCTCATCTATAAACCAGAAATATTCTTTGCCTTTGGATCGCCCATTGGAATGTTCCTCACAGTCCGAGGACTGAAAAGAATTGACCCAAACTACAAATTTCCAACATGCAAAGGTTTCTTCAATATTTATCACCCTGTAAGCACTGGACAGCCCCTGTAGCTCACCTTTTAGGGCTTACTGGTAAAGAGCATGTGATTTTCTGTAGTGTTGATTTGCTTTCTGTGCTATTTTGTAGCAGTGAGACGACTCACAATAGTGTGAATCTGGACATGATGGGGAAAGACTACATGTCTTTAAATGAGCTTGTAATTCTTGCCTGATGCACAGTTCCTCAGGCTGTCCATTCTCTGCAGCAGAGGCACACACAGCTATTGTTTTTCCTGTGTAGTTTGACCCTGTGGCCTATAGGATTGAACCAATGGTGGTCCCAGGAGTGGAATTTGAGCCAATGCTGATCCCGCATCATAAGGGCAGGAAGCGGATGCACTTAGGTAAGTGCAAGTGCAGAACTGAGTAATTCTAGACCTTCTGGTCAGGATGACTGAGTGGACCTCATTAACTTTGTTTAGCTGTGTTTGTAAACTCTTTGTAAACCATGTAACATTCCTTACTCGTATGTATTTCAGAGCTGAGAGAGGGTTTGACCAGGATGAGTATGGACCTCAAGAACAACTTGCTAGGTTCACTGCGGATGGCCTGGAAGTCTTTCACCAGAGCTCCTTACCCTGCCTTACAAGCTTCAGAGCCTGCAGAGGAAACTGAAGCAGACCCTGAATCGAGTTCAGAGAAGCCCAGTGGTGAGTGACACTGTTCACACCAATTCTGATGTCAGGCCAGACAAGGAGCTCATGCGTGTAGTTCTTACTTTGCCAGGGACTTCTTTTCCCTCTTTATTGTACAGGACCAGTACTGAGTCCTAATGGGTTTTCAGCTCTGCTGGCCTTTGTTATCATCTAATAGCCACAGATGATGAGAAAATATTATTCGTGAGGAAAATGTCAGCTGAGCATCTGGCAGTGAGGCTCTGTTACACCTCCGACGTGAGAACTTGGGGCTGCTGTTAAAAGCCTGCTCTGTGAAGCCTCGCTTGTACAGGGCAGTGTCTGTCCACGGGCCCATTTTACTTTACCGTCTGGGGACGTACTAGGGAGTGCTTCTCTTCACAGTTAACGCTGCACGCCTCTGCTTTAGTTTTCAGCTGCCTGAAGAGCTCTGCCCTTGCTTAGATTTTGTTTGTAAACCACAGGCAAAAGAATTAGCTGTCAGGTAGAGGAAAGGCAAAAAAGGGGATTGGACAGAACCAACGTGACTTGAGAGGCTTTAAGACAGGAAGGAAAGGAGGGAGAGGGCTTTCTGCACAGCAGTTCATCCCATGGTCCTGTGGTCAGTCTGGAGTCTGAGGGGAAGTGAAGAACCTCAGGGGACTGGAGTCTTTTGATTCTTACAGTTCTCCCATATCCAGATGCGAACACAGAAGAGGCCTCTGGGGCAGTTAACGAAGAAGTCCCACCCATCAGCGTGGGAATGCTGAACGGGGGCCAACGCATAGACTATGTGCTACAGGAGAAGCCCATCGAAAGTTTTAATGAGTATTTATTTGCTTTACAAAGCCATCTGTGCTACTGGTAAGTGTTTCCTTTTGTTTCTAGGTTGTTTTTTTGGTCTAATAGTTTGACACATATTTGATAGGTACAAAAGGATAGGCTGGTATACATTTGGAATTAGAATGAATTTCTCATTTAGACAGTTACAAAATAGCACAATAATTTTCCAAAGAAATCTGGTTTCAACACATTGTTTTATTTTGCAGTTGTGCAGAGCATAGGGCTAATGATGCCAGCAACCATGAGTTCAGGTGGCTTAGTGTTCAAAGTGTGTCCTTCTGCCATCAGTGGGACAGGGCGGGTGCATGAATGACCCAGACAAATAGGTTACTATTGCTAAGTGTTTTGAGAAAGTATATAGTAGCTAGATCTGAATTCATTATCATTTTTGTTTTAATGTTTGAATTTTTCATGTTTAAATATTTTTTCCACATGTGTTGAAGTATAATTGACATGTAACTGTAAATTTAAGGTGTGCAATGAGATTGATATGCATGTATACTGTGGAATGGTCACCGCAGTAGGGTTCAGTCTGCACCCCCACCACTTCACGTGATTTCCTTTGTGTCTGTTTGTGTGGCAGGAACATGGAAGGAGCTGCTCTCTCAGCATCTTTTAAGTACATAATACAGGATTGTTAACTAGAGTCACTGTGCTCTACGTTAATCCCCAGAATTTATCAGAGTTACGATTAAATATACTTTGATGGTTTATAGGATATGTTAAAGGTGCTTATTGATATTTATTATAAGGGAATAGGACTTACTGAAGAAATTAAACTAAAGGAAAATAAGATGCGTCAGGGATAAGTGTTCTAAAAATAAATACTTTGAATTCCTGAGGATTTTTGATAAAGGCATTATTATCTGATGTAATCATCATCATGTCTATATAATACATACAACAGAGAGACCATGACAAAATCCAAGTGCAGAAAGCAGTGCTGCCTGAGAATGGTCTAGCCAACGCGGCCTGATAGAAACCTAAGAATGGTGTTTAAAATTTTGAGCCGCCGATGCGTTCATATGGTTCGAAGGCCAGTAATGAAAAGCGTCTCTTACATTTTGTTCCCAGCTAACTAATTCTTTCTCCATATGCAATTAACATGCATTTCTTAAAATTTCTTCCAGATGTCTATTTTATGCAGACAATTCAGGTGTGAATATGTGGAAACATATTTCTCTTCTTTCACAAATACAGAGCGAGTCTATAGGCAGTGTTCTGTGCCTTGCTTTTCCTGCTGGCCTGTCTACACTGTTACTGTGCCTTAGAGTTCTTGCCAGTCATACAGAGTTTCCACGTTCGTTTTCAGCTGTGCAGATATTCACCTGAATGAATGCACCATGACTTAACTTGCCCTCTTGCTCCTGACACACCTTGTTTGTTGTTTTACCTGTTCATAAGTGTATTTATACATAGAATTGTAATTGCTGGTATAAACGGTATAGGCAGTTGTAGTATTTGGTAATCATTGCCAAATAGAGGTTATTCCTTTTTATACTCACCAGGGATGTCTGTCTCTCTACAGCTTTTCCAGCAGTTTTATCAACTGTTCATTATCTCTGCCAATTAGTTGGGTGAAAAATGGTCCCTCACTGAAATAATTTAATTTATTTACACATATGTAAAGTATGTGTGTATAATACACATACTACAATATACGTATTTTACATTACACACATACACACATATATATATGTGCACTTTGAGGCATAATGGATGTACAGTAAGCTATAAAGTGTCCAAATATGAGGAGTTTTGATATGGAAACATCTGAAACCATCACCACAATCAAATTAGTGGACGTATTCACCACCACCAGGTGCCCGCGCCCTGGGAACCCCTCTGTCCTTCTCTCCTGCCAGTCAGTCTCCAGGGAAGCGCTGATCTGCTTCTGTCTCTGGAGATGAGTTTGCGTCTGACTTCACACACTTTTCTGTATGACTTTGTTCTTCCACATTGTGTGTATGCTCCCCTTTTTATTGCTGAGTGTGTGCTTCTGGACGAGTGTACCACAGCTTGTTTATCCACTCACCTGTTCACAGACACGTGGGTTTTTTTCCAGTTTTTGGCTGTTGTGAAGACTGCTATGAACATTCATGTAGAAGACATTATTTCTCATGGGTAAATACCTAGCAGTAGATTGGCTGGGTGTCATATGGTAAGAATAAGAGCATCTTAACATATGAGCATGTGATATGAGCATTTTAACATGTATTTAAAAACCATTTTTATTTCCTCTTCTTGGTGTCATCCATGCCGTTAATTCTCTTTTATATTGAAATGCTGATTGGTCTGTGGTACTCGTTGCAAATAACTTTCCCCCAGTTTGTCTTTGACCTTGTATACACTGGTTTTTTGCTAAGTAGAACATTTTATAGTCAGATTTGTTGATTTTTCCTATTTGGCTTCTGGGAATTGTGGCATACTTAAATCTTCTCTACTCTCCCAAGAATTTTACCATATTGTATTCTCATCTGTCATGGTTTCATTTTGACATCTTTGATTCACTTCAAATTTATCTTCATAATAGCTGGACTGATCCAAGTCCTTTTTCAGATAGCCATCCAGTTGTAACTCTGTTACTAGATTTAAGATTATTGAATTCCTATGTGTATTTAAATAGGACTATTTCTGAACTTCCTGTTCTGTCAGTCCATTTACCTATAAGCCAGGATTACAGAACTTTTAATAGCTGGTTTAGCTAATCCCCCTTTGCTGGCATAGGAAGAGTTTGTTGACCTGAGATCTGTGCAACCTACAGTTTGTGGGGGATAGAAAAAGTCAATGAATTCAGAGAAACCCTATATATAACTTTGGCACATACATATATATATGCATGTATATGATCTCCTCTGGGGAAAAATCCATAGGTTCCTTTAGAGTCTCAGAGAGATCCATGACTCAAAAAATGAACTGCAGCCTACAGCAATGTTTGCCTCATACATCTTTAAGACAGTCCTTCAGCAATGGTATTTTTTAATAATATTTCTTTATGAACTGGATATAAGTAATTGCTTAGACACACAGTATCTGGAAGATGTATGAGAAAGTGGTAACACTGGTTCTCAGAAGATGAGAACTAGAAACAGAAGTGAGGGAGACTTCATTATTGTTCCCTTTTGTATCTTGACTTTTGAACCAATATGGTTGTTATCTTTTTAAAAAAGTAACACCTTCGAAATTAAGGTGATCAACTGGATGGCTCTTCCATATTGTCTGAGTAATGAGCTCTTGGGAAAGGGAACAGTTTAGTCATTTACTATTAGGTATTTTTTTTTTATCACCAGACATAATGCTAGACTTTTGTTAGGTTACCTTCCAAACCACTTCCGGTTACATTACCTCTGTGTCTGATCTTTTTTGCAACAAAAATGAACTTGCAAGGTGGTTGCATAGATTGAATGAGAAACTGTAGACAAAGCATCTAGTATAAAGGTTAGTCACTTCTTTTCAGAATACAATTTATTCTCTTCACAGGGAGTCTGAAGATACAGTATTGCTGGTCCTCAAAGAAATCTACCAAACCCAGGGTATCTTCCTTGATCAGCCTTTACAGTAAAAATGACCATCTCTGGCTGCTGAGTGTAAGTCTTTAAATGTAAAAGAATGCAGTATTCTTCCTACATACTAACCTGTTATAAGGAACAGTGGAGCCTCATGCTCTTCATAAATGTACTTTTCTGTTGCCTGTCACCAAGATTTAGATTGTTACTCAGTTTTACCCACTCAGAGGAAGGTTAGCGTGTGGGTTTTGCTGGTGATCAGGTCCAGTAACACTTGTCAGCAGTTAGCATTTTAATTACAAAGAACCCAGCTTGAGATTTAAGTTTGTGAGCCTCCCAGCTGTGTACCTGGCATCTGCATCACACTGCGGCCTTCTCTCCATTGCCTCCCGGTTTGTGTGGCCTGATGATGTCTTTTCCACTCTGCCCCCCAGATGGACGGTGAAGGTCCCTCCCCAGGAAATCCACCCATTTGTGCTGCACTTTTTCTGTCCTCTGAAATTAAGGTGATCAACTGGATGGCTCTTCCATATTGTCTGAGTAATGAGCTCTTGGGAAAGGGAACAGTTTAGTCATTTACTATTAGGTATTTTTTTTTTATCACCAGACATAATGCTAGACTTTTGTTAGGTTACCTTCCAAACCACTTCCGGTTACATTACCTCTGTGTCTGATCTTTTTTGCAACAAAAATGAACTTGCAAGGTGGTTGCATAGATTGAATGAGAAACTGTAGACAAAGCATCTAGTATAAAGGTTAGTCACTTCTTTTCAGAATACAATTTATTCTCTTCACAGGGAGTCTGAAGATACAGTATTGCTGGTCCTCAAAGAAATCTACCAAACCCAGGGTATCTTCCTTGATCAGCCTTTACAGTAAAAATGACCATCTCTGGCTGCTGAGTGTAAGTCTTTAAATGTAAAAGAATGCAGTATTCTTCCTACATACTAACCTGTTATAAGGAACAGTGGAGCCTCATGCTCTTCATAAATGTACTTTTCTGTTGCCTGTCACCAAGATTTAGATTGTTACTCAGTTTTACCCACTCAGAGGAAGGTTAGCGTGTGGGTTTTGCTGGTGATCAGGTCCAGTAACACTTGTCAGCAGTTAGCATTTTAATTACAAAGAACCCAGCTTGAGATTTAAGTTTGTGAGCCTCCCAGCTGTGTACCTGGCATCTGCATCACACTGCGGCCTTCTCTCCATTGCCTCCCGGTTTGTGTGGCCTGATGATGTCTTTTCCACTCTGCCCCCCAGATGGACGGTGAAGGTCCCTCCCCAGGAAATCCACCCATTTGTGCTGCACTTTTTCTGTCCTCCGCTGCATCATTTCCTGCATGTTGCCTGCACTTACTCACCACTGGGGTCTTTGGAAGTGAGCGGAAAACCAAAGGGAAGAGCCCGCGACGCCTATCGCTGGCTTCATGGGGACGCTTGCCAGGCTGCTTCATAGTGGATGTGGTTTGCATCTTTAATTCCTCAAAGATAGTGTGTCGGTGCCACACTTCATTGCTTCCTACTTGAGGTGGTATAAAGTCTGCTTTGAGTTTGATTTGGGTCTGAGTTTTTCTAGTAAATGTTTTAGTTTAGAAGCAGCCTCCTGAAGTTCAGAAGGCAGTTGGGGGTACAGCAGGCTTAACTCCTGGTGGTGGTGCCTGCATCTGAAGCCTAAGTGGATATGGAAGATCGCTGGGTAGCCAGGTTGCTTTGAGTCAGCTTTTCTTTCCTGCCAGTACTGTGTGCAGACAGACTGCAATATAGCTTAAAGAGAATCTTGTTCTCTCTCTTTACAGCTGACAGATTCACTGCTTAGAATTACTGATGCTGTTGTTTTTACAGCTGTTTGAGCTGCTCAAAGAGTCTCAAGTAGGCAGTCTAGTTCATATTAGGTGCCTCTTTATAAAGCAAAGGTGTTACATATCCTAGACCTGTCCTTTCATATCATACTTCAGCTCAGAGACTTTAGATGCAGGCTGATTTAAGTCACTTGAAAGCAGCTTCTGTTCTTAAGTTGAGGGTAGTTATAAGAGCTGACAGACCTTGACAGGCTGCTTCGGTTATAAATGATCTTTTAGTGGTACAATTAGAGAAGCTGTGTAAGTCACTTGCTGCCTCTCCCAAGCGTGTTCTTGTTAGATGCATTTTGTAAACATTGCTGCTTCCGCAGGTCCCGCGCGTCCCGAGCGCTCAAGGCCCAGGCAGCGGGCTGGGGTGGGGGTAGCAGGTAGGTTGGCCATGGGGGAAGTGCCTCTTATGCTGAAAGAGAAAGGGTGACCGTAGACTAGTTTCTTCCAGGGCATCTGCTCAGCACTATGCTGTGCGTCTCCCCTGCTCACTGATAGCAGTGTCTCCACAGTTCCCGTGGGGTGGTCCTGGTGCACCTCAGCTGGCTGCAGGCCTGTGTGTGCCAAGTGGCACGGGCAGGCAAGCTGGTTTTTATAAATGATTTTTGTGAATGCATCATGGTGTCCAAGGCCCTAGCATTTAACATTCATTTAAGCCATCTCCTTGGCAGCTGTGGGTTTTTCCCTTGAGCCTGGCCTTTCCTTGTCTATCTGCTGATGCCGCAGCCAGTAGGCTTCGGACAGATGGGACACTCCACATATGCTCAGATTAACGTGAGTGTCCTGAGGATCAGCATTCGGTGCGTCTTAAAGGGGAGCTTTTGTCAGGCTGCTGTCTTCAAATTTAAGTGTGCTCCTCACGAGCAGGGTACGTGCTCCGTCAGGGGAAACCAAAGGACGAGCAGGAGTGGGTCCTGTTGACCAAAGACGGGCAGCGCCAGCCTGGACCGCCAGAGGAGCCACCGTATGTGCCAAGAAATGTTTCTTTCCTGGTGGGTAGGGGCAGGCAACTAAGAGAGTTGGGCTGCTTGTGTCCCGCCTGTGGTGGTGTCATGGCTGGACATTGCCCAGGTGACAGGCCTGACTGAAAACCTTCCCTCAGTTGTGTGTCACTTGCACTACTTCCATTGTGTACTGTGTATGATCTCCTGACCAAGCCCATTTTTAAACTCTGGTAGATATCATTTTATACGTGTTCCCAGCTACAGAATTGGTTTATCTCAGCAAGAGAGACTGCATGGAAAGATTAATAGCATTGATTAGCCTTCTAATATTTTGCACTTTTTGAAATGTTTGTTTTTTTATGAGATACATTTAAAACTTTAGTAAATACTGAAATAAAACCATATTGACCAGTTGCTTACTTTTACCTGATTCGTCCATCATGAAACCTCTACAGTAACCATGTTCTCATCTCCTATGCATTAAAACAAGTTTGAAAATGTTTGGGGCAAAGAATTAATACCTAAGTTCCTTTCAGTCATCTTAGGCAAATGTACCACAGTCATTGTAAGGTAAATACTGAGATTGTCCTTCTGTATTGAATGCCAGCCACTACTGCAGCTGGACTGGGGAATCCAGTGTTTGATCACATTTACTGGGAGAAATACATCATCAATAAAAGAGAAAGGTACCTACAGGCCCGACAGCATCACTTCTAATCTCTGGTAATTGTTCCTTGTATCCCACTGTAAAGAAGGAAAGAAAAATTATCTTTCTGTCCCACCGTAGTTGACAGAGTTGATGAATTTGGGCAGATCTTCATTCAAGTGGAAAGAAGCTTGTGAGCCTAGTAAAGGACAATTGAGGTGTAAACCACTACCAGTGTGTATTCCTGGGAAAGCTCCGGGCCACTGTGTGTTTGCTGATAATTCAGTAAACCTTTATGCCCACAGTATTCAAAGTGGTTGGCAGTATCCGGCTAGACTCAGAGAAGATATGTATAATGGTGGTAAATTAGCCAGAATTGGACATCTTTGTACTTATGGCTTGATTGAACTGCCACCAGAGAAAGTAAACAGAACCAAAAAAAATGCCCTAGATCTTAAGATGTTGAGCATAGGCAATGCAAATTAAGTTTTGATGATTAATGCTAATGTCTAGGATAAGGTGGCTACAGAAGGGCTTCTTTTCTTTATGGATGCTTCCATAGATCCTTCCGAGAAGGGCATTTAGAGTAAGTGTAAAACACTAGATCCTGGGATACCAGTCTGATGGACCAGACTGGTGACCACTGAAAGATCTCCAGAACGTGTAGCAAACAGCAGTGGGAAAGCATCTGACTCCTGGTGATAAATCCACGTGAGCAAGAACGAATCCACATGACCCTAAGGAGGTGGAACAAGTGCTGTATGTCCTCGCTCCTGTCTGGCAGAGGTTCAAAGGACAGAAGTTCTTATCTTGGGCATGGTCCAGTTAGGAGGGGCTGATTCAGCTGTTCTCCACTGCAGTACCGCCTGTTTTTAAATATCAAAGTGATAAGGATCACCAGGCTGCCTTGGTGCGGAGGGAAGTGCAAGTCTGTCCTGGAATGGTCTGTGGCACTCGGCATCCGTCAGCGGAGGGTAATACTGCCTGTAGCAGACATAGGCAAACGTCAGGCCGATCATGGATCCAACTAGTACATCTGAAAAGAGAGAAGATAAGGTCTCATCTTAGTCAGGGTAGACTCTGAAATCAGGTTAGACACCACCAGAAGGGAGAACTTGGCCCTTTGGGTCACTCTACTCGGTGGGGCTGCAAAAACATCAGTTCCAAGTTTATGACTGCTTAACGCTTTCTCAGGTTTGTCATATAATTACGGGATTATCATCAGGTTCTCTGAACCCCAAATCAAAACCCATCTTTAAGAATAGTAAGCCTTTTGCTGAGTACAGGAGGTTGAATTTTTTTAATTCAGAAGAACACAGAGGTTTGCATAAATGCTATTAGCAGCCCCTGGTCACCATTTGGAGTGCTAGAGGACAGAATGAACTCTGCAGGGAAGTTGCCTTTTCCAAACATTTATTCTTTCAAGCAGAGCTCCTGAGGACTTCTGGGCAGTATTATCTTCTGAATTGTGGGTTTTCTGTGTATCGATCCTGTAATTTGGATGTTGAACTCTAACTGTTCAACTCAAACTGCTTTGGTCTAAACTGCAATTTTTGGTTTTCTTGAATTTTACTTCCACGTTAAGTCTCATGACAATGAACTTGATTTTTAATCATTTTAAGACAAGCTGAGCTTTGAGGTTTGTTGTAAAAAAACTGCTTTTACAGAGTTTATTCTGACCTTCGGATGCCTCAAAATAATTAGGATGCTCCTCCTTGGTAATCTCTTTAAAAGGTGGCTTGTGTGTGCTTCTCATCCTGCACAGAGCTGTGAATGTGTCATTTTAGTGCAGAACACAGACCATCCTATAAGCAAACACTCATTTGTTTACTCATTCGACAGATGCTTAGTGAGCGTCTCCTCTGTGCCCCATGCTGGAGGTGAATGCTGGGAAGGTAGAAGCTTACAGGGTACGAACCCTCTGCTCACCTTGCCAGTGATGCTTGTAGTCACAGGTGCGGGACAGCGCGATCACAGCTGCAAAAAGCAGAGGTGACAGAAAGGCACAGAACCGCCAGGCTCTCCCCCGGCCTTGGGGTGTGAAGCAGTGTAACTTCCCTGCCAGGTAGAAGGAAGCAAAGGCCAGCCCAGCAAAGGCAACTAGGAGAGAGAAAAACCACTAAGTAGATGTCTTTTAAAGGAAACAGGCTTGGCAAGAACGTGCTTTATTCCCTTTCTGGATACTTTTGGTAGAGAGTGCTGATTTTGGGGGTGAGGGGAAACAAAGGGAAAAAATGGGACTTGGTTTTGTGTCCCCTGGTTAATAAATACATGAGAGATTTTGGGACCACTAGCTATGTGACTGGGCAGGCTGCTGCTTGATGCTTTAGTTTCATGTATAAACCAGCCAGAAGTAACTATTATGGTACCAAAGGAGGTAAGAATCTAAAATGCTTCCAAAGTTCCTGACACACAGTAACTTCAAAAAAGGTTAACATTTTTATGACTAGAACAAGATTGCAGTCAGTATCTAGGCAAATAATAATGATAAAATATTCCAATCTCACAAATCTCTGTCCTGGTATTATCCTAATACTCAAGGCTCAGGCTTCTGAAACCTCAGGGTTATTAAAGGAGGCTCTCCAGGTTCCAGGTACAGAAACAAAGGGAGTGAGGTGTCCCCATCCTCCCAAGACAAGTACGCCGCCCACACGGGGTTCGCACAGGAGGAATGTCCGCTTGGGAAGCTCTTACGGCCCTCGTTCACTACATCCTCATCCCCTGTACACGAGTCAGAATGGGGTTGGCCGTCGGGGAAGCAGCGGTAGAAGAAGTCAGGGCGTGGCCTGAAAGAAAATGCACATGCGTGTGTAAAACACATTCACAACTCCCGAAATTATTTCTTAGTTTCACCAGATATCAACAACCCTGTCATTCGCTAGTCAAAGAGTGCCCTACGCAAAATAATGGCTCTGGGTCAGGATACTTACCAGTAAGAGAAAAGCCTTATTTCCTGGGTCAGCATTTAATGGGGAGAACAGACCCTCCAGCACATGATCACCTTTTACCCCAAAGCCCAAGTCTGCAGCCTCGGGAGGTGCGGTACAGTCATGGGCTCCGCCGCGCGGGCCGGTGGGAAATGCTGCTCAGGACAGGAGAGAGCCAAGTGTTCCCCACGGGACGGAGGTATAGGGAGGGGGCGAAGTGCTAAGTGGGAAGGGGAAGATAAAAGCCAGAATAAAGCAGAAGAGGAGAACGCCATGAGATGGACTGCGCCGGCCGGCCGTCTGCCCGGCTGAGGTGAGGCCGGCTGGTAACTTACCTCCCCACAATCAGTTTTATTGTGTTGGTAAAGACGCCGTTCAGAGCCAGGGCAAGGCTGGCAGCTGGAAAGTAGAGGCACTGTTAGTGGTGTCTGCCTAAGAGGCACTGCACGGTCATTGTCATTAAGAGAGCAGCTGTGGCCTTCCAGGGAGCTAGAGATGTCTGTGTGCTCTGCGCGCTGTGCACCCAGCCCCCCCGGCAGCCACCCTGCTGCAGGTCGGGGCGGCTGCGCCACCAGGCCATCCAGTGCTGTGGCTCTGCCTTACAGGGTAGCACGGGGAGTGCAGGAGAGAAGCAGTTACTTTAGGGCCACAGAATTCCGTGGCCTCCATACCCAGGCCATGACTCCAGGCGCTGGGCGCCCTCCTGCCTTCTTCCAGCACTAAGACAAGACAGCCTGCGGGCTGGGTCGGCTCTTACCCAGGCAGGCTTGTTTGCTGTCCCTCGTGTCTGTCTTCTTGAGGTATTTGGCCAGGAGGATCAGGGACAGCGGGGAGAGAAATGCAATGACCTGGACCGGAACATGTCAAAGGTTAACACAACCGAAGCACGAGTACAGCACTCAACACTCAGCTAGTGGTTAAAGCAGCACCTGCAGGGAGGCGGGATGCTGGCGGCAGGCACCCCCACCCCGGCCCCAGGCAGCACCCCGGTCCCACGCCGGCCCCCCAGCACCGATGCCGGGGAGAGAAGGCGAGGCTAAGGGCGGCCGGGGCCCAACACGCACAAACATGGGCTTGGTGGGGAAATACTCGGCTTCCATATATGGATTCCGGTAAAGCCACATTTCCTCCGGCTGGATTCGCCTCTGGAAGGGCGGAAGCAGCTCTGTTATCCTAAAGAGGAGACAAGAAAGCGCAGAGCTGGCTTCCGGCTCCAGCAGACCGTCCCCACCCCCGCCGTCCCCACCGCTCACTCACAGGAAGGCCACCAGCAGCACTACCCGCACGCCCAGCTCGGCCCCCAAGGCCGCCGCCGTCCCCATGGGGCAGCACCGCGCCAGCACCTGGCGAGCACGCGCGCGCTGATGCGGCCGGAATGCGCAGCTCCGCCCCGCGCCGGCGACCGCGGCAGCAGGCGGCCGTGGCGCCCCCTGGCGGGGGGGAGGGCGGACCTACCCAGGAGGCAGCGCGGGCCCCTCCCCTTTGGCTGGTCGGCGAACCACTTCCAGAGCGACATTCTCCAAGGATCCTTCCTCTGCGAAAAACCGAAGCGGCGTTTGGAGCCCTGCTTCCCGCAGCGTACTAGCACCGGAGGCGGACACGCTGCCCTCAGCCGGGCCCCTGCCAACCTCCGGCCCAGCGACATGCAGCAAGAAATCACAGGCAATGAACAGGTCCACATATTTAATTTGGAACATACAGGGCAATTTATTGAAGTCAATCTCAAGCAAAATCTGAAATCAGAGGAATGTCATTAAGAACCTTTCCAAATTAATCCTCACGGGAGCAAAAACACGTTTGAATTCCAAAGTATTTGTAAAATTAAAAAAGGCAACATCTCAGTTTGTATAATATACAAAAATTATATGTTCCTACCAGCACACACAGTGAGAAGCTTAAATATTACAGGCAATCCTAAATACACTATAACTAGTCAACAATAAGCTATCTATATACAGGTTAACCAAGCTTTACACATTTCACACTATGCAGTAAAACAGGCCAATCAACAAACCCCCAAAATACCATGTATCTTGAAGTCTATGTGGCAACATCAAGTTAATGCCCTAGTGGAACACTCCCAGGGAAAATTAACACTAATCCCTTAGTGTCAAGAGCTTCTAGTCAAGTCACAGAACTCAAAAGAGATTGACTTTAGTAAATATCGATGCTTTGTTATTAAAGACTCAAGTCTCAAGTGATTTAGGCAAAATAACATTTCACAGATCTACAAAGTTTATTACAGATAAAGTACAGAAATAACCAATCTACAAAGGTCATCATAAAGATCACAAGGAAATGAGAACATAATATATAGGTATCTGTTGTGCAATATCACAAGTGGATACAAATGAATTTCTCCTATCAATCCGTTATGCGCACACCCTTGAATATAAAAAGAATCTTATTAGCCAGTTGTAATCCTCATTTAGCATCTTGGTTACTGGTGGCAATATGATTTCTTTTTAACAAAGGGTATGTGACAGCACAAACAAGATAAAGAGCAATATTAGTGACAAGGTAAAAGTAAATTTTCTCCAGTCCACTTCTAAACTGACAAGAATCCCTTATAAATACCTTATCTGGGTGATAGAATGGAGATGGAGGGCCATTCACACTGTCAGACTATGTATGGCAGGGAGGGAAGGGATATGGGATGTGAGGGGGCGTTATTGCCAATTAGCAGCTGCAATAACATCACAGAAGGAAATTAAGGGCTGAATAAATGACTTTGGCAACTATTCTTTTTGTCCCTTTCTCTTACATGGTAATGACTTTGAGAGGCTGTAAAAGGACAGGTGATACTCCTCCTCCTCCCCTTGGTACAGGTGTGCTACACACGCCTGAGTTTGTCACCTAGGCAATGGACTGACAGCAAAAGAACGGAAATGGTTTTTGTAACCACACACAGGTCACACCCAGCGTTGCAGGAGTGTAACGTCAGTGCAAATTGTTTTTTTCTCTACTCGGGCATGTATGTTGAAAGGAAGAAGAGGTGCTCGGGGATAGGGTAGGCAGAAAGACAAAATAAAGCACACACATGGGGAGTATTTGCAAAAGCGCTGCTGGTATTTCATGCAGGAGTCTCTTTCTGGAATGCATAGGCTGCATCTGAAATACCTGCTGTGAATGGGCTCTCCTCCCCCATTTGCAGGACTTCGCCTTTAATCCAAGTTAAGGAGGATAAGAGACTTGGCTATTCATTTTCGAGACAGTATACAAAACAATGCTTCTACTTCACCAAGTTTAAAAATAACTGTAAAATGAGGAGAATCTGAAGAGTTTCAAGTACTTAAAAAACCTGAATTGAATGAGGCAGAGGTCTCAGTGTTAAAGTGACGACTTTGTACCTGGTAAACATTGCCATCCTCCCCCCCGACCCTTACCCTATAGTCACCCCCTCGTCTCCCTGTACCCCAGCCCAGAAAGAAGTTGATAATTTTAATATATACACATTTCCAACTTCCCAATATTTGCTAATGCATAGCAAAGCTGTCCAAGTCTATCTACCCCTTAGCCTATCTGAGAATGGAAGCATGTTCTACTTTTTGTTTACAAATAACTAGAGATAATTCCGGGTGGCCCTTGGCCAAAGGAGATTGTTCCAAGTGTCCACTTCACATCTGCAGCAACCTGAATGGCCGGCACAGCTATATTCAGCAGCCTCACAAGAAGTAACTCGTCTACTTTGCACTGCCCAGCAACGAAGCAGCTTCCCCATCATCGTACCTCATGTACAAGTACATCAAAGGGCAGCTTCCCACGTGCTGAGGACTCACTCGTTTTCTGATCGCACGCGGCATCATCTTGCCATCCGGTGAATGCCAAAGGAAGAGCTTTGTATTTAACAATGAAATGAGGGCAAGTGACAGACCCAGGGGGTGCAGAAATTATATTCCATGTAGCTGGCTTAGCTATCTGTTTCCAAACTGCAGATCCCGGGTCACAAAGCATGTAACCGAACCAGGTTGTCAAACAGCCTGCCCTGCCTGAGAGCCCTTTTCATGATTATCTCAGTTTCTCAAGGTCATTTATGGGCATTTCCAAACTTTAGGTGGAAATGGCTGACAGGAGTCAGGTGCAGTCTCCTCCCCACTTTTTTTTTTTTTTTTTAGTTTTTAGGTATGTTTCTGACTTGAACACACAGAACTTTCCAGGTTTCAATGATTCCACAAGTCAGCCAAATCTGTAGCATACAGCAGATAATTTTTGAGAACTGAAAGTGGAAACTTATTAGAAAAATGAAAAAAAAAAAAACCCCCACCAAAAAACCCCCACCCCACCTCACTCCTAACTCAGGCCCTGATTAGATAGATGTTAACGAAGTGAATCACTTCCTCTGGCGGCTTCAGCCTTCCAGGAACGCAGGGCCACGCGCTACAGCCTCCCTGCTCCGCCCAGAGCCTGGACGGTTTCCCAGGGTTTCATCTGTAGTTGTTACCCGTCTGAACATCTTAGTTGTTTCTGAAGCTTTATGCTTATCATCAAAAATATTACATTCACTTCTTCCTCCAGAGAACTAACATGAAGGTTTTAAAAAATGCCACCCTTTTTCCCTGCTGCTTTCACTTTTGGACAAGAATAAAAACCAACCACTTAATGCTTTGACCACACGTGGACTGAAAAGTTAACAAGACAACCTCAGTCCACAGCACAGGCAGGCCTGGCAGGGCACAGACTGCGAGCCCGGGAAGCACTCCCGGCTTTCCGCTCCCACAACCGATGGCCGCAGAGCGCACGAGGAGGTTTGGCGGTGACCCTGGAGGTGTGAGCAGCCCCGGGCGCTAGCATCACAACCACCACCTCTGAGGCCACTGAAGAACGGTCACAGACAAGACCCCGGGCTGTGCTTGGCTATTTTGCTACCCTGATTTCTGAAATGGCAAAACGGTCCTGTCAGTCACCCCACCCCCAAAATAAAAAAGATTTAATCTGTTACAGAGATACAAACAAAATGTGACACGATGAAGAAGCTGCATAAAAACACTTAATTAAACCTAAGGTATCTGCAGTATATAGGATAGACCCTGGCTTACCACAGAGAAGTCATCAGATAGTGAACAGCACTGAGTCCTCACAAAGCAACGAGGTGAGACTTCATGGTGGATACTGTTTCAGTAAGAGGTGCATTTCAAATATTAAAGGAAATCCTTCATGGTAGTAAGTTTAAAAAAGCAAACATTTATCATAAACATATAAAATAAAGTTTCAGTATGATAAAACCTAGATTTTCTTAAATTATTTTTAAAAGAACATCAAACTATATAATTGCTCAAGAGCAAAGTTTAGTGTTTGGCGAGCTGTAATTCATGTTACTTGTAGCAATTATGTTTGGTAAAACGTGTATAGTATTTCCCATTTTGCTCTTTGGGGATCATATCTAATCACCAGAATTACTGGAAGCCCAATGAGTTACCTCAGAATTAATGGCTGGAATCAGACAAATGGCAGTTTAGGAGCTTAAGAAAAGGAACTGTAGTGTTTTTTTTGTTTTGTTTTGTTTTTTTATAAGAGAAAATCCAGTATAATTGCACATTTACATACAAAAAAAAGAGGCACAAAACAGCTTTTTTTCCTTCTTTTCTCAAGAGAAGAGCTCCAAATTGATAAGAAGGAACACTGTAACACAACTGAAGGAATGTGATCGAGCATCTATCCTCCTACCTTCAAAAGGTTATTAGGTGCTTCTTGAGGGAAAATAAATGCTGCAGGTACCAGCAATTGTAAGCAGTCAGAATTCACAGAGAGTTCATGTTCATTCAAGCTAACCCTAGACTTCTACGTTAGGACAGTGTTACAACAACGTCTGACATTACAAATTATTTCATACAAGGAATACTGCAATATACATATTCCTAAGCATTAAAAGCAAGTGAGTTCTGTGGGCAGACATCTCAGTCCCCTGGCGTCTGTGAGGCCTGCGCACCCACGCTGACAGGTTCCGCTAACACTGCTTCCTCAGGGGCTGTCCCTAAGAGCTTCCTGTGATGATGTGTGTGTGGCCCTTATATACCCTGTATGTAAGTGCTTTTCTGTCTTCACTGGGGCAATTTTAAACACTGGATAATACTACATAGAAATTATTTACATATAATTTGGGGATGCTCCTGCCCCTTTTCACTTCCAAATTAGGAACTAAACCAAAAAGATGTTCAAATACAACTCAAATTCCTTTGTGTGGTTTTTACCACGACACATGACTGAGTGGTCACATGACCAAGGGAAGCAGAGACAGAAAATAAAATGCCCATAAATCTTCCCAAATCAGACCAGGGTCTACATTAAATTGGACAGAAAATGGCGCTTTTCTGATCCAGCTTTTGGTTTGTGCCTTTCTTCTCCTGGAAGAAGAAAGCTGCCTGGATCTGTGTGTCAAGATAACAGGAATGG